ACTCCTATTCATGAAGCCTTATGTATTGTCTCAACAAACAACATTTGACACATCAACCATCAAAACATTGGTAATCCATTACTAAAACATCAACAAAACATTTGGGTAGTACAAAATGATATCCGAATGATATGTAGATGATTTCTGAAAGATTGTCAAACGTTTTTTAAACCCTTGGTAACAAACCAAACGGTCGAATGTTTTCTAAACACACACATTTTTGTGATGGGATAAAGGAGAAGGAGAATGAAGAGGAAGAGAAGGCCATGCGTTTCAAATACTGGCCAATCATTGCAACGGGGTTCATTTCAAGCCTAAAAAAGAAAACAGAAGGAAGCAATGGTCCTTTTGGTAGGAGAAACAACAGTGGCATGGGGTATCGTGGCCTGCAACACAACCATCCCTTTGCATGCAAGCCTCTATGCAGCCTACTCAAGGTCCTTATCGTTCCTCTCATGCTTACCACGAGACTTGAACAATTTGCTTTGTATTCAGGCACAGACAATAGAATAAGGTGTTTCGTACGGATCATACAGATTAATATGAGAGGAGATGCTGTTAATGGAGCCTGTCAAATCGTTGCTTGAGAGTTCTGTGTGTGTGTGGGTAGAAGTGAAGAGATGAGACTTCTGGGCATGGCAAGAGGGAAGGCAAGTGTTATAGTCTAGAGTCCACTTAGGGGTCGTAGATGCCCTTGAAACCACCTAAGCAGAATCTGACGACTTCAAACCGCCTCTGTTCAAAACGTCGTCACGAGCAGCTCCGATAACAAACGAGGCTGAAACTTGGATAGACGTTAGCATCAGTTGTCTGCTTTCCAACGGTATATAGCTTGCTTTCATCAGAGGTGTATGCGCTACGCAGTGAACAAAAACGTAAGCTCGGCTGAAAAACGAGTAGTTTCATTGATGCAAGGAAGAGGTTCGGTTCAACATTGCCTAGGGGACTCTTAAGGGGTTGGGACCATCCTGGGAACTCAGAGAAGGTTGAGTCCTAGGGGAGAAAGGCTAGAGAAGGATGGGAAACGTCCTAGCTAGGTCAGCAAAGCCAACCACACTTGGATGTTCAGAGCTGTACTCAAGGCTACCAATAGTGAGTCAAGCCAACCATGAGTCAGCTTGTCTTCCCACTTGCACCCTCTTGCAAGCTGCTTCCTGGAAGACCACACTTCTCAAAAGGAGGGTGGTAGAGTCCCACTTGACCACCTGTACTTCTTGTCTCATTCCCTGTCCCTGCACCATTGGCATGACAACAATGAAAGGGTGGCAAGGGAAATGCTGCCAACAGTGCACCATGACTACGGAACAGTAACTTTCGACAGCTGTCACGTGCTGCTCCGATGCTGGGTTGTCCTGAAACTCGGTGAACACCTGAAAAACAAGGCAAAAGACTGCCACACTAATTTTCAGACCAATCAAAGCTCGGTAGATGAGTCAGCAGCCGAAATGGTGAACTCGGGTGTTACCAAAAAAGAGTAACACACACTTCCGGGATGCCATAAATCTTGAAACTAAAAATGTTGCCATGCCTTGTAAACTGCTTCAATGATTCTGAAACTTTGAGGGTATGAAGAACACATGTTCAAGCACCACCCCACAAAATTCCAGAAGCTGAGCAGGCTTGTAGGCTGAATGGGAGTGCGATGACCGTGCCACTGTAGTACTTTGGCACAACAGCAAGCACACACAGCAACTCAAGGGAGTGATGGGATGAGGATGGTTGGAAAGCATTTTGTGGGTTTTTTAGGAGAATGAGGTGGGGAGAGAATGGGGAAAATCAGCACAGATTTTGCCGTGGGCTGTGAGGGAGAAGAGGAGGGGAAGGAGGAGAACATGGACGAGGATGTGACTTGAAGGATGCTAGGGTGGATAAGGGAGATGCAAAGGGTGTCATCTTGCCTCGTATGAATAAGCGTTTGCCCAAATCATTGGGAGAATTATTCAGAAAAAAATATATCGCCTCTATAAAATTCAAATGGCAGCATTCATTAGAAGCAATACGAGTGCACAAAAACAACACATTAGCATGGCTTACAAGACTGCTAGTGCGTTGAGGTTTTCCAGACCAGTTGGAATAGGCCCCGCGAGCTTATTACCCGCCAGTTTCCTGGTGGGTGGCAGCGGAAGGAAGGATGACGCGACTCAAAAAATATATCTGCGAACCTTATAAAGATCAGGCTGTATGTCCGTCAGGCTGCTGGGCTACTCATATACTGCTAGGCTAGCAATTAGTTGTTAGTGTTAGCCTTCAATCTCACACTTTGTACTTTGTATTTTCTATATCCTAGAGTAGTGTAGTTTGCACATTGTGTTTGGTTGGGTGTACACCTACATCCCAACCAAACCCAAATGTAATCTCCAAGCAATCTCCAACCCACCAATTGGAGATTACCTTGGGATTACCCCCAATCCCTAGGGATTGCCCCCGATTCCCTTCTCCATCCATTCCCTCCCCTTCTTGGATGTACTTAAAGAGCTTCAAGCTCATTACTAATGCATCGCTTCTAAGCTTAAGTTCCTTCATTAGCTGCTCAGGTAAAGGAACCATTTAGCTGCTCAAATGCCAAACATACAAGCATGGAGACTTCTAGAAACACACTGAGCATGTTGTTATTGGTAAGTGAATCCTATGAGCAACGTGATGCAAGAAACCTTGGTAGATCATTCAATGTGAGTTTCTTACACATGGTACAGGTTAGTTAGCCTGGTGATGGTGTTTGGAATGGAGCCGGTCAAGCTATTTAGATCGAGATCTCTGTGTGAGAATAGTGGGGATGGTCGGAGGGACAGCACGCATACACGCACAAGTGACCCACAGGAATGACGAGGCAAGCATGGTGTTAGGCATTATTATGTGCATAGGGGAAAACGAGCTACGGTGGAGGAATTGCATCAACAAGCAGTGCCTATGGGGGGGAGCATGGGAACACTCCTCCCCAAATGCGATTTTTTTCTTTTCAAAATGTGGGTCCTCGGCAACAGCCAACTTCAAGCAACTCACAGCTCGATCAAATTGGTGAGGCTTCCAATCTCATCAGGAATAGGCCTGGAAAACTGATTGAACGCTAAGTCCCTGGCACAAGGGTGAATTGGACATAACAAATGCCCGGTCTCATGCAGAATGCAGTGAGAGAAATGAAGTAGGATTGGTTAGTCCAACCAAATAGAGAAATCAAAAGTGGGATGAACAGAAAGATGCACATTGCGTAACGGGTGGAAGGTGGAAAGAGAGCACTAGATACACAAGGATGATGGGCAAACGTGAGCGCAATGATACATGATTACGACCGAAGCACAGCACCACATACACTGCAACACCCTTCTCTTCCTGAAAGGCCACCATATTCGAGCTAACCATATGCTTGCCTTCCGGCATCACCCAATCTCATCTTACAGGTACTTCAATGAAGAGAGGTTTCCAATCCCAGCAGGAATGGGCCCTCCGATCCCACAATCTGTCAGAGATCTGGTTTCATGGGGTGAAAAGTGGTTATGCGTTGCATGCTCTTGTACGGAACAGTAAACACAGTGGTATAACCTTGTATCAAATGGAAGATAATGCGTGTAGCAAATGCTTGCTAAAGAGTACAAACGCACACTTCCACCTCGTAGTGCTGCAAGAGTGTGGGAGGCGAAACAAGGTGCAACGAATGAGGCGTGTCACCATCGCATTGCCACTGCCTCTGCTGCATTTCCAGCAGTTGTCATATACAAATGTGCCATTTACCTCCACTACCAAGCTTCCTTTGCCAAGGCCTTAACTGGATTTAACACTAAGGGTTGACGTCCAGTGTCAAAACGGTATGAATTCACCCTAGACGTTGGAATAGGGTTGAGCAAGAATTCGAGGCAAACCGAACAGGTTTATCTAGTGTTCGTGACAAACGTGTTCGAGGTTCGCCCAAACACGTTCGCGTTCGGGCCACTGCTGCAGGCCGCCCCGCGTTGAACACGAACGTGTTCGAGGTTCGCCCGAACACGCCTTCACATGCGAACACCGAACACCCTTTTTTGTTCGGTTCGCCAAACGGCCATGTTCGTGCAAGGGTTTGCAAACCTTACAAACCTTTTAACTAACAACAATTTTTATAAGTTGAATCTGTCGCAGCCATGTAAAGACATGGCTCCTATCTGGGGCTCCAACGGCCATGTTCGTGCAAGGGCGAACAAGATTGCCCTTTGCTCAAGCCTACGTCATCACAAAAATCCTGCATCCGGAAAACCGATGAAAAAAGTTGCTTTGGAGTTTTGTCGAATGATTCTTGAACGACGTTTTTCGAACGCTTTTTTGAGAAAGTATAGGTTGCTTTCCAAATGCTTTCTCGAACGCTTTGCAAATGCTTCTCCAATGCTTTTCTGTTCAAACCTGCCAGGTGAACACCTTCGGAAGAAGTTTGGTACAAGTTTCCGCAGAGCAATTTCGAAGATCGGATCTCATTGCAATGTACTCTTTATGGAATTTCGGGCTCATTAAAATAAGCTTATGTAGGAGACTTGCACGACCTTATATGTAATTTAAAACAATGTTAAGTTGCCTCAATCTTGCATTCAAAATGAACAGTACAGAAGCTTTGGTAAAAGCTGATAATTCCACCCTAAAAACACACATAAAACAACATCCTAAACCCTCTGTGCCTAGTCAGTTAGGTTGAGCTGCATCATCCTACGACCTGCTTAGCATGCTCCAGTTCACTATGTCTTCCACCGAACCCCATCTCTGGTGCTCTAGGTCGAGCGTGCCCCTGTGTCCACTGCTTCATTGCATGCTCTGCCCTCTCATGCGTCTGCTGCTCCGCCCCTAGCGCTCCCCAGTCATGCCTTTACTGCTGCTTGCTCCAGTCATGCCTAACCTGCTGCCCCCCTTGTGCACTCCCCTCTATCTGCTCGTGCCTTTTCTGCTGCCCCCCCAACTCTCTCAACTCATGCCTTTTCTGCTGCACCCTCTTGCACTATCTGGTTGCCTTGCTGGTTGCCCACCCTTGGACACTCCTCACATTGTCTCTACTGCTGCCCCCCTTGCTGACTAAACGCCTTTGCCGCCCGTGCTACCCCCCATGCTGGCTCTACTTTCTTGCCTGGCGTGCTGCCCCCCTTGCTGTCTCCACCAATGCCTCTACCTCCGTTTTGATGTCTCCTCGCAAGTGTGTGATGCCTATCCTGCTGCCCCCCCCTTGTAAACTCCACTCATGCCTCATCTGCTGCCCCCCTTGTTTAGTCGCCCCATCGCTTGACCCTCTTGCCTCCCCGGCGTTTGCCACTCTTGTGTCTTTTGCCCCTCCTTCGCTCCTGGCCCCCCCCCTTCTCATCCTCATGCTCATCCTCTTCCTCCTCTTCCACTTCTTCCTCCTCTTCCTCTTCCCTCCTGCTTCCCTTGCCTCTGCCTCTTTTGTGCTTTCTGCCCTTCCTCCTCTCCTGCCCCCTATGATTTTCATCCTCCTGCTCCCCCTCCTCCTCCTCCCCACCCTCTTCCTCTTCCCCCCTGCCTCCCCTGAGTTTCCCTCTCTTCTGCCTTCTGCCCTTCCTAATCTCCCGCACCCCCCGTTTCACATCCTCCTCCTCTTCCTCCTCCTCATCCTCTTGCTCATCCCTCTTGCCTCCCCTGCTTTTGCATCTCTTGTGCCTTTTGCTCTTCCTCTGCTCCTGCCCCCACTGTTCATCCTCCTCCTCATCCTCCTCCTCCTCCTCCTCCTCCTCCTCCTCCTCCTCCTCCTCCTCCTCCTCCTCCTCCTCCTCCTCCTCCTCCTCCTCCTCCTCCTCCTCCTCCTGATCCTCGTCATCCTCCTCGTCATCCGTCTTCAAGTCCTCCGCGTCGTACACCTCCTGCTCTTCCTCCTTCAAGTCCTTCTTCTCCTCGTCAGGCGCGGCCGTCCCCTTGAACGCCTCAAATCCTGACTCGTGAACATACAGGCCACGGTCGCCCCACTTGAAGCCCTGCACGACTGTGTTGTACACGGGGGTGTGGCGTGTGAAGTGGTCCTTGATAATCCACCGCACATTTCGGTGCAAACCCGTCATCCACTCGGTGTTCTTCCGGTGGGAGTTCGAGACGTTCCAGTCGGTCTTCTTAACCTTTGCCAAGCCCTGGTCAATCTGAAAAAGCGTAGCAAAGTATGGGAAAGAGGGGAAATAGAGACATATGTGGACACTCGCGTGTAGAGTTCACGGGCTGCGCAAATAGCCTCACATTCCAGTCTGGCGGGCAAGAATTGCAAGCAAAGCTAGAGCGAATTGACGGGAGAGCAATAATGCCTTACCACCTTGATTGACCAGGCAATGTGGTAGGCTTTGACGCACACCCGGCGCCCGACACAGAGATTCCGAAATGCTTCCCGGACCGCATCTACAAACCGGCCGTTGGCAAACGGGAGCCCGTCTCTGCTGTTTCCCCACGAGCTGACCCGCTGATTCCCTCCTGCGCGCACGCAGGACAAGGCGGGGACGAAGATCATGCACGACATGGTTAGGGGTTGTCCAAAGGGTATGGACGAAGTGGAGGGCGGTATAGAATGAATGGAGGGTTGGCTGGAGGGCAGTAGAGCAGGGAAGGGCGGGAGAGAAGGGGAGGGCAGGAGAGAAGGGGAGGGCAGGGGAGAGGGGGAGGGCAGGAGAGACATGGAGGGCGGGAGAGAAGGGGCGGGCTGAAGAGAAATGGAGGGAGGGAGAGAACGGGATGGCGGGAGGGAAGGGGAGAGCTGTAGATTAAAGGGGGGGCGGGAGAAGGGGAGAGTGGGAGAAGAACCAACGTTAAGCTGTCATGCGGATGTGACTGCACATGCGCTACAAGCCTGGGCAAGGAGAGCAGGTATGTAGTTGCGTGCCACAGTGGGGATGCATTAGGGTAAGTTGTTCATCATCGTCACGAGGGGTGCACGAGCAGATGAAATGAATGGTGAAGTAAAACAGAAACGCGCGTACTCACTCGGTTGGTATTTTCTCCACATCTTCTTCTTCTTCTTGGTGCCCATCCAGAGATCGGCTGCACGCAGGCCTTGCACCTTCTTGCCGAAAGTTACAAGCACTCTGCGCTTGAGGTGGAAGCCACGATCGTTCTTCCATGACGTCCAAGCGCGTTTGAAGCCGTCGACGATGTTTTTGTCTTCCATAGCCTCTCGCAGCTGCATCAGCTTAATTATGTGCGTCTCGCTGATAACGTGATACAAAACCTGAAGGCGCTGTTCGAGCGTTGGGTAGAAGTCTATGGCATCGTCTGGCCATTCTAGGCACATCCGGTCCCGCCCCACGGCGAAATGAAACTATGACGGACGGGTGGATTGGAAACGTAAAATTGAGTGATGCCTCCGAATGAAGGGCGGAATTCAGAGGTTGAGAGAGAGGGCTGTTGCCATCACTGCGCCGCATGGCTCCCATACCAACAACAGCACCATGAACATGGGCTCTCGCAGAGGGAGGGGAGGGATGGGAGAGAGGGTGCAGGGAGAGGAAGGATAGCGGCTATGGTGAGCTATCACTCCGCCGCATGACACCCACCCCACCACCAGCACCATGAACAGGAGCTCTGGTTGAGGTAGGGGAGCGATGGTAGAGTGAGAGGGGAGAGAGAGGGGATAAAATAGTCAGAGCGAAAGACGGGAGAGTAGGCAGAGTGAGAGGGCACCGTACGCCCAGCGCGAGGGTTCATGTTCTCCTCGTACGAGGAGTCTCAACTTCCACTGCAGCCACCCCCCTGCACGCTACGCCGCATGCCACACGCGTGACCAGCAGCACCTTTTACAGTGGCTCTGGACGAGGAGGGAGAGGGACGGGATAGAGAGGGGAGGGAGGAGCGGCGGACAGAAAGGGGGCCGCGTGGGGTTGACGGATATGGCTTCCTCTATTCCCTCCGCCGCATGACACCCACCACCCCCAGCACCAGGAACAGGGGCTCTCGTAGAGGGAGGGGAGGGATGGGAGAGAGAGGGAAGTGAGATGAAGGAAAACTGCTATGCTTAGCTATCCCTCCGCCGCATGACACCCACACCACCCCCAGCACCATCAACAGGGGCTCTCGCAAAGGGAGGGGAGGGATGGGAGAGAAAGGGAAGTGAGATGAAGGATAACTGCTATTCTTAGCTATCCCTCCGCCGCATGACACCCACACCACCACCAGCACCAGGAACAGGGGCTCTGGAAGAGCTAGGCGAGGGATGGGAGAGAGGGGGGAGGGATAGGAAGGATAACTGCTACAATGAGCTATCCTTGCGCCGCGTGCCACCCACACCAGCACCAGCACCATGAACAGGGGCTCTGGTTTAGGGTGGGAAGGGATGGGAGAGAGGGGCCAATGGAGGATGGATAACTGCTATGGTGAGCTAGGGGTCGGGGGCAGAATGTGAGAGCATCGTACGCCCAGCGCCACGTCCCTGAAGCGAGGCGTACTGGGAATGCCTATCCCACTGCAGACATGCCGCTATCACTGCGCATAATGCCACAAACACGCTTACCAGCAGCAAGAGGGGTTGAGAGAGAGAGCTGCAGCTATCACTGAGCCCCATGCCACACATTGCTTAACACTAAAACAATCTCACCTTCAGCAGCTTGGGTGTGGGCATCCCACGCGTTCGACGGACTGGTACGTCTACCGTCGCTGGGCTTTCTGGCGCCACGCCTGGATCGAGGCCCCCTACAGATGGGCCGCTCGACAGAGACGCTAGAGGAGGAGGCCTAGATGGAGGGGTGCAGGGCTTGACAGGTCCTTCTGATCCTGGCCTTGCCTTGAGTGCAGCGATTTCGCGATCCCGCTGGGCAAGCTCTCGCATGAGCTGCTCCACAGTCCTGCCGCCAGCCACATCCAGCCGACTGGATGCGCCAGGTGTGCCCATGCTCTCTCCCCTCCCCTCCTTAGTCGCCGGATCCATTTTCTCGTCCCCCCCTTCTCCCCTGCTCTCCCGTACATCCCACATGGAGCCTTCCACACCGCCGCCACATTCACCCAAGGCATTCGCCCACACACCTCCTCCCACACCGTCATTCGCTGCTGCAGCTGCCGAGGGTTCGTGCCGCTTCGTTGCCCCCTCGTTTTTCACATGAACCGCGCGACCCCCCATATGGTTGGGGGGCGGGTCCGTCGCTTCCCTGCCAAACCGCGCTGACCCCCAAGCCATCGGATCTCCCTTCCCAGCCGAACCCATCGGATCGCGTAACGCAGCGTACGGGTCCGCGGCTTGCCGATCATGAGAGCTTGATGTACATCGTATCCCCATGGACTCGTAAAAATTCAACTCCCGCTTCGCCTTGCTACGCACACCCACAATTTTAGCTTCGAATCGAGGTCTCTGGCGCTTGCCATGTGGTTTGGCACGACGCACACTCTGTTTACAGCTCTTCACCCGTCCCCTCTCCGATTTTTGCTTAGCGTTGCCCTTCTTGAGCTTCCGCACACTCCTCCTCTTCAAAGGCCGAGCCTCCTCCCCATCCTTGCTCTCCGGCTCCAACTCCTCATCATCCTCGTCCTCCTCCTCCTCATCCTCGTCCTCGTATACCTCCTCACTCCCGGATGAGCTGCCCGACTCACTGTCGCTCGAATCTTCCTCGGAACCAGACGAGCTCGAAACGTGCACATTGGGGCCGTGCCGAGCTTGTCTCGCCTTATGGTCGCAACTGCCCGGATCCACAGCCTTGCGCCGTTGGTACGGAATCACAGCTTCACGTCCACCTTTCCCATCAGTCACTGCTGCTGGCTCGTCCTCATCATGATCGTTAACGTCACGGCATGAAGGCACGGCATGATCCTTCTCGTCGCCACCATCCGCATCCTGCGACTGCCTGCCCGAGGGACCGCCCTTAGCCGCGGCAGCCCTGCCGCCGTTGCGCATGCCGCCACCACGAGCTTCCGGCTCGGCATGATCCTTCTCGTCGCCACCATCCGCATCCTGCGAGCCCGAGGGACTGCCCTTGGCCACGGCAGCCCTACCGCCGTTGCGCATGCCGCCACCACGAGCTTCCGGCTCGCCATGATCCCCCTCGTCGCCTCCATCCGCATCCTACGACGGCCTGCCCGAGGGATCGGCCTTAGCCGCGGCAGCCCTGCCGCCGTTGCGCATGCCGCCACCACGAGCTTCCGGCTCGGCATGATCCTTCTCGTCGCCACCATCCGCATCCTGCGACTGCCTGCCCGAGGGACCGCCCTTAGCCGCGGCAGCCCTGCCGCCGTTGCGCATGCCGCCACCACGAGCTTCCGGCTCGGGATGATCCTTCTCGTCGCCACCATCCGCATCCTGCGAGCCCGAGGGACCGCCCTTGGTTGCGGCAGCCCTGCCGCCGGTGCGCTTTCCGCCACCACGAGCTTCCGGCTTGGCATGATCCCCCTCGTCGCCTCCATCCGCATCCTGCGCCGGCCTGCCCGAGGGATCGGCCTTAGCCGCGGCAGCCCTGCCACCGTTGCGCTTTCCGCCACCACGGGTAGTGACCGGCTCGGCATGATCCCCCTCGTCGCCCCCATCCGCATCCTGCAAGCCCGAGGGACCGCCCTTGGCCGCGGCAGCTCTGCCGCCGTTGCGCTTTCCGCCACCATGAGCTTCCGGCTCGGCATGATCCCCCTCGTCGCCTCCATCCGCATCCTGCGCCGGCCTGCCCGAGGGATCGGCCTTAGCCGCGGCAGCCCTGCCGCCGTTGCGCTTTCCGTCACCACGGGTAGTGACCAGCTCGGCATGATCCCCCTCGTCGCCCCCATCCGCATCCTGCGACTGCCTGCCCGAGGGACTGCCCTTGGCCGCGGCAGCCCTGCCGCCGTTGCGCTTTCCGCCACCACGAGCGCGTTGGCCTGCCGTCCCATCTGCAAAGGCGGACATTACAGGTACATAAGAAATACTGTGCACACATTATCTTATTGGCTGGAACTTGCAGCATGACATGCGGCGTCATTGTAATGAGTAACGTGCAAAATATAAACCGTCGATATCACACCCACAGCGTACCTAAGCTGTCAGGTCCCCCGTCTTTGCCCTCCTCGTCGCCTTCAGACGCAGGCGTTTCCTCACGATGTGAACGAGTGCCTCTTTTTCTTGGACGGTGCTTACGCCCCCCCCGGTTGTCACGCTTGTCCGCTGACGCTGATGTGGAAACACAATTGGAGAGACGATAACCTCCAACAGGTCAGACACGACTACAAGCATCGTTTCATGCATACAAGTAGAATATTCCGCATCTGCGACCATAAACACGTACCTTTCTGGCCGCCTTTGGGAACGAGATCATCTAAGCGCTTCACGCGCTTATCCCTTGGTTTCGGAGGGGATGATATGCCCTTGTTTGCGTATGGCTCAACATCGCAGTCGCTATTCGATTCGTCACCGGATGACGAGACACGTCTGGAATCAACAGCATCTCGCGCCGTCGACGCATTATTTTTGCGATACTCGTTTACGATCTCGGCCGTCTTATCTGCTGTTACTAACTCCGCAAAATTTGTTTCGTCGGGGGTTTTAGTCGAATCAGCCAGTACGATCGCCCCCTCGGGCCCCTTCATTATCTGACTTCCTTGTTACGATGTCTAGCTTTCCATTCACGCAGTACTATGAGGTTGCGGGTTGTGCTACCGCGAAGAACCTGACTGCAGTCTACGAGCATAAAAAATTGGTTGAGGAGGGAGAGGGACGAGGCAAAGTCTGGGGCCTAGAGCAGACGATCGTCACAGCTGGAGGCATGCAAGGGGAGCACGGAGGTGATGAGGGTTTGAGTGTTTCCTGCTATGGTGTGCACGTTGCGACTGCCAGGTCCCCCTTTTCCGCCAACAACCAATCGCCTGGTGGTTGAGGTGTATAAAGGAAAAAAATGCAGCACTGCCGTGTTAAGATTCCGTGGGACCTAACGTGCTTAATTGAGTATCAGTCCACAAGCGGCAGGGTGGGCTTCTTTTTGTTAAACCCGACAGTCAAATGCGCTACTGTATCTGGGTTTGCGAGGGTCATAATTATTCTGCCCGGGTTGTCGCACTATTTACAATGAAGTGCCTCGCGTGCCACACAAACCTACACAAGCTGCACGTCAAGAGTCACATAGGGTCTGCGGAGAAACGGCGACGCTCGATCGCAGCAAGTCGTACAGCGATGCGACAGGTCGACACGAAGCCGTTGCGGCACGCCTGCGATAAAAACGCAGACTCAAAAGTTCCTTGTGTGTGGTTGCAACTGGTTCGCAAATCAGGGAGATTCGAGTACGTGGCATAGCGTGGAGTCGAGTGGAATGGCGCAGGGCGGGGCACGTAATGGCACATTAGTTTGCAAAGCCTCAATAGTGTGGTGTACGTACATGATAAAAATAGAATTAGAGGGTTATGGAGTTGTAAGGAAAATCTCATTTTCCTTACTTCGCATCCCTGCTCAACGCGTACATCACTGTAGCACCTCAGTCAGCACCGTTACCACTCGCATCGACAATCCGCCCGCCACTTTCGCACGTTGCACCCCGACCTCACGGCTTCGGCGGTAACCCGCGCTCCGGACCTTCGCTTCGACATTTTCCCAACCTCAGTCCCAGGCCCGTCGCGCAACAACCACAGTCCATTACCGTTACCACTGTGGTTTCGCTATATAACCTTTCGCTCATACCTTCGCTCAGTTGTACTTTTTTCCCGATAGTGCAATCCTCGTTCGCTCACTCAATTGCACTCGTAACAGGAGTCCCCCTAACCCATTAGCATAGTGACAAGTATGCAACATAACAGTGTAAAACCAAACACCACCTTCACAGAACATGCACATAACGGTCTGTGGTGGAGCAGTCATTCTGATACATCGATTGATTAGTAAGTATGCATTATTTGATTGCTGCCTGGTCGTTATGCAACGCGTATGGGCATGTCTCCTCTCATGCCAATTGAGGTGCAATACTAATAGAGCCAGACACAAACTCCCCGTATGGGGCATGGCTGCTCTCATGCCATACAGGGCAACCTTTATGCAGGGACCCAAGAGCATGCTGTGTTGTATGTTCTAGGTTCATGCTGGAACGGAGTTGAGAAACCCCTGCTGTTCTACCCACTAGAGTTGTGGGGACATGCAGGTATGTTTTGCAGCATCACACTGACCCATTGTGTGTTGTTTGTATACATGTCAAGCAGGAACGCCAGTGACAAACACTTCCCTACGGGTAGTGTTCTCTAGACATGGAGGACTGGTTGTGGCCAACACTCTCATTTGGCCACACTTGTTGTCAAGTCATGCAGGACTGATTCAAGGCCTCTCCATTGCGCTTTGTGTCATGTTTGTTGGCATATCAAGCTGGCAAGACGGATGAACAAACAATTCCCTATTGATCTTGTCCTCATTCCCCCATGCTACCCGCTTCCTTGTTCTTCACTCACACACTTATTCCTCCCACGTACCCGCCTCACTCCCTCCTGCTTCCCGCCTCATTACCTCTGCTTCCCGCCTCATGTCTCCTCGCTTCCGGCCTCATCCCCCCTTGCTACCCACCCCATTCCCCCTTGCTTCCCACCCCATTCTTCACTGCGACCGTCCTCATTCTCCCTTGATACCCTCCCCATTCCCCCTTGCTTCAGGCCTCATTCCCCCTTGCTTCGGGCCTCATACTCCCTTGCTACCTCCCTCATTCCCCCTTGCTTCAGAGCCGCGTCCCCCTTGCTTCCCGCCTCATTCTCCCTTGCTACCCCCCTCATTCCCTCTGCTTCCCGCCTCATGTCCCCTCGCTTCCGGCCTCATTCCCCCCTGCTACCCACCCCATTCCCCCTTGCTTCCCACCCCATTCTTCACTGCTACCCTCCTCATTCTCCCTTGATACCCTCCCCATTCCCCCTTGCTTCAGGCCTCATTCTCCCTTGCTTCAGGCCTCATTCCCCCTTGCTTCGGGCCTCATACTCCCTTGCTACCTCCCTCATTCCCCCTTGCTTCAGGCCCCAATCCCCCTTGCTTCCCGCCTCATTCTCCCTTGCTACCCCCCTCATTCCCCTTTGCTTCCCGCCTCATGTCCCCTCGCTTCCGGCCTCATCCCCCCTTGCTACCCACCCCATTCCCCCTTGCTTCCCACCCCATTCTTCACTGCTACCCTCCTCATTCTCCCTTGCTACCCTCCCCATTCCCCCTTGCTTCAGGCCTCATTCCCCCTTGCTTCGGGCCTCATACTCCCTTGCTACCTCCCTCATTCCCCCTTGCTTCAGAGCCGCGTCCCCCTTGATTCCCGCCTCATTCTCCCTTGCAACCCCCCTCATTCCCTCTGCTTCCCGCCTCATGTCCCCTCGCTTCCGGCCTCATTCCCCCTTGCTACCCACCCCATTTCCCCTTGCTTCCCACCCCATTCTTCACTGCTACCCGCCTCATTCTCCCTTGCTTCAGGCCCCATTCCCCCTTGCTTCGGGCCTCATTCCCCCATGCTTCCCGCCTCATTCTCGCTTGCTACCCGCCCCATTACCAGCTTTTCACCGCCGCATGCCCCACCTCCAACCTCCAACATTGTTTTTGCCCGAAAATACACAGACCACTTCCTCAAATCGTGACGGTACTGACGGCGCCAATGGAGTGGCCTCCCTACAAGCTCACACGCCGGTAGTTTATGGAAACCATCCTCGACCAACGTGTGCATCACACGCATCGTGAACACACCACAGTCGTTCTCATTTGCCTGCATGGGTATCTGGACAATCACAGGGTGCGTGAGCGCGTGGTGAGGGCCGGGACGGGAGTGGGGTTTCGGTGTGGAAATTGCGTGCAGGGAAAGGGAGATGCGATTATTTCAAAGCTCGTACACACAAGGCAACAGCACTCACCGTGACCTGCCTTAGTGGGATGCTCGCCGCCCATGCATCTGCGTCCGACTCAGTGATCCATGCACAGTATCTTATCACCTCGTTTCGTAAGTACCTGCACACCGGGAGACATAGATTCAATGCTATCGTAACCCCGAACTTCTGTACGTGACAATAGCAGACTGCCATTAAAAAGAGAGTACCTTCGCAACGGGGCGTCGACACCGGCATGCGTGCCGTACGAGTCAGCGTGCCAGAGCACGCAGTTCATGGGAATCGGGTCGTCGGGCCTCGGGATGCGCTCGATCACGATCAGGCTCTAGTGACTCCTAAGGCACACATGAGGTCTAACATCAGTAACGCCGACGTTAGACTACCGAAATACATATGGTGCTACGGCTAGACGCGACGACTACTCACTCGGTATTTATCGGAACGAGTACATATGTGAAATCGAAAATACCCAGGCCGAAAGTATAGGCGTTTACACGCCGCGAAATGTCCTTCTTAGCATATTCCCAGAAATATGATCCACTGTAAAGCCATTTGTTGCGGTCGCGACCGTGTTCGTACTGCAGCATCCTTCGCACGCGCGTATTTGCGACAAAGGAAACGCATGAGATAACCGTGACGAATCTGGCCTTATGATTTCCTAACCGTGATACTCACATACCGAGCCAATCAATTACGATCCCGCTGACCCATTCACCGGGTCGTAGCCTGTCGGCGTGTTCCACGTTTATGTCGAGCCAGCCTCCGCCGTAGGGAAAGGGCATAGAAATCGGCTCAAAGGCCAGCTTACCATCTAAACACGGTAGAGCCATGGCTAGGACTTTGATGACCTCAAGATGCGTGTGGCACTAGGGATAATTTGGGGGACGAGCACCGAACTGGAATTTGGGCTTCTGCAGTCACGACACTATGAGTCAAGAGCAGCCGCGAAGGTTGTTACACTAGTCGTCAAATTTCGCTAAAGGGTTTCGAGCTAGCCTGGTCCAAACAAGTTTCGCAATCGCATGAGCGATCGAGATTCGCCAAAGCGCCCCCACTTGTCGGGGCTTTGGCAATGGTCAGTGTGGTTTAACCTGC